TTGATATGGGAGAGCAGAGGGGTTTAATGAGGCTATACACTTTTTGAGATAAATGTTGGTGAAAGTTAATATTGGTACATACATTTTGAAACCATCAACTACTTAATTAGGCAACAACTGATTTTAATACTTTTAAAGGCCTACTAAACGTCTCCCTAAGTGAAATAGGCTTCTTTTATTAAGAAGACAGGGGAAAATCAAGTGGTTTTTTTTTCATTTGAACACTCGGTTGCCTCTAGGTTCTGTCATATTTATTAAAACTGTCTTTTAAAACGTTCCAAGAGCCCCGAGGCAAGTCCTTTCCCACATGTACCTCTCCGTTTTCCTAACTGAAGAACAGAGGCAAATAAACTCAATCACCTCAGAAGGCATACCAACTTCTAAATTTTTTTTTCTAGAAATCTGGGTCTAAGTGTCCCAGTTAGTTAAAGCAACCACTCTTAAGAGGGGCTTACAATGACGAAAATGTTTAAGGAATGGCAAAGCCCTGAGTTTTATTATGTACACTCACCATGGTGTGTAAAGGCTGGAATGCCAAGGTCATCTGTCTTTGGCCCAGGGAGGTGGAGTGCTGTGTTAGCGTGGGGAGCGTGGAGATGCATCTCCCCATCATAGCTATAGCAGCAGAGGCCTTCTTAGCCATGTTAATTAGCACACAGCTGCTCCCGAACGTCTCTAAACCTGTGCTATCTTTGATTCTGAAGGGAATTTGTCTTTTCTTTCTTTTTTTTTTCCATTTTTTAACTTAAATTTTACACGATATTAGCTTCTTAACAAGCAAACTCTGCCTTCCTTCCCCAAAGCCACTCTTGTAGGACTGCCTGCTGATGTATTTTGCTGACGAGAGCAGTGGTTTTATTTCCTTGCACTATGTGTGGGATGGCTTCAGTGTCGTTACGCTCAAGCCCCTTGGTGGGAGAGCCTGCTGAATTTGTAAAGGTGTCATTATTTACTCTTTTAATATTCTCAAAGAGTGGCAGTGGCGTGGCTTGCTTGAATTAAAGGCACCGAGTTCAAGACCACGAGAGATTTGTGTAGGATATCCGCAGCAGGCAGTACTTGCTATTTTCAGCCTCAATGTCGTCTTGACCACTCGAGGCACATGTTAACCTTTTGCCAAATATTGACTGTTCCTAACAGATGGGGCATATGGCTTTTTGTGCTGATGGCTGAAAACTCCTTTGACTGATCATGTCAGACATGAAGGGAAAAAAGGAGGGTGCGTGATTTAAATAAAATTCGAGAGCTTGATTCAACTCCCTCAAGACTGGAGAGGAGATAAGCTGAAGGTCATCAGCTCCAGCCAGGAATGGCGAATATTTTTCAGCAACTAGCCTGTTGCGCTCGGAATTTGTGGCTCATTTAAAAAAACAAAACAAAACAAAAACTGAGGGCAAACTTAATTCAGGGAAAACTCATGGACTGATACTTCCCTGGAAACCGTCCGCAGGGAAGACCTAGATGATAGACCTATTGGATGTTGCCTAGTCTGAGTTTTCTGAACCCTGTTCACTCATCTTCTTCCACTGTTTGTACCCACCCCCCCTTCCACCAAGGTTCCCTCAAATTTTTTTTAAAATATATAAAATAAGTGCAAAACCTTCTACTTTTAGTGTTTGCACCCTTGCATACATTTAGATGGAGGGAGACAGTGCATTTAGGTTTTATATTACTCTACCACTGAGAAGTGTGGACCTTTCTAGGATTCCTTTTCCTTATTTGCAAAATGGAGACAGTGATTTCTACCTTAGTGTGAGAATGGAATGGGAGTAGGAGGCAATACACACAGAAAATTGCATGGGATTTTGAGGTAAAACAGAAATGGTTTGCATTCTGGTTCTGACCCTTGGCTGTGTGACTTAGGGCAAGTTATTTTGCCTCTCTGGGCTTCAGTTCCCCATATGTTTAGTTATGACTATGTCTGTGTTGTAGGGTGGAGATATGGAAAATAATTAGCGCAGTGTATGGCCTCTAAAACGTGCTCAGTAGGCAGGAGCTGCCGTCACTGCAGCCTTTTATATCTATCCCCTAGGGCCTGCCTCTCGAACAGCTTATGATATTTCAAAATTCAGTATAAAGTGGGCTGGCCTTGAGCTTGTCTAGACAAGGGTTTATAGTTAGTACCTCATCACAGACTGGTCTCGTAATGAAGTTTTATAGCATTAACCCCAAAGGGAGCATTGCAGCAGGCCAAAAAACGTGGAGCCATGACGCTTGCCTTTTGTGCAGAAGCCTAAGGACCAGGCATTTCTGCTGCAAGGGCGTCTTGCTGGATGGAGTTTGGTGTTTTGTGGTTGTCAGTTCTCAGGGCAAGATCTTGATTCAATGAAGTTCCAGTGTCAGGCCCTCCAAGGCCATTGTCAACTGAATATCAGCCTTGGGTATTGTTTTAGTTTATCTTTCATAGGTGCAGAGGCACTTCTACATGGTCCACAGCATGGGCTTTGAGATGTGGAGTTATCACATCATGATAAGGGGCATGGATGCACAGCTGGGCCCTGCATTGTGCCTGGTTTTCCAATAGACTAGCATCTTACCCCAGTGGGCTCTGAGAGTGGCATATTGATTGAAGTTGCCAAAATAAGGGTTCAGTAGCCAAAAATTTGGGAAATGAAAGGAATGTGCAGAGATAGACATGAGTAGTAGCTCCCAATGTCCTATCTACTGACCTTTCTAGTGTGATAATAACATTCGAACATTTTATCAGACTCCTACCAGATGACATGCACTATGCTTGGCACTGTAAACATATTATCTTTAATCCCCTCCAAACCCTGCAGAATCCTTGGCTGTGCTTCTGTGCTGCAGGTGAAAAATCTGAAGCTCGGGGAAGTAGCTGTATCACGGCCACAAAACTACGGGAAAATCTGGGCTTCGTTTAAACCCAAGTCGTTCTAAGTCCAGGCTCCTGCTCCCTTGATGTGCTGTGTGTTGTGTTCTCAGGGCAAATGAAAGGCACGGCCTATAATGGTCCTTCGAAAACCACCGTTCCACTGTTTGCTGTGGGGAATGGGGAGCTGGTGGTTCTGCCTGGAGAAGAAATAGCTCTCCATATGATCCACTTGTGAACCACAAGAAGAAGGAAAAGGACAGAGGCGATGTTTACTCGTCCATAAATGGCATGGATACCAATTGACATAATGATCCAGCCCTTAAACCTGAAGCAGGGTCCTGGAGGCCACCTGATAGGGCAGCTGTTAGCGTATTTAGATCCTGACTCGTAAGGAGGTCCAGAAAGTTCCAGAAGAGAGACCAAAGGCTGTCTGGGATGGGGAATACTTGAAGGGATTCAGGACAGCAACCATTTTCCAACTCGTTAAGAAGTTTTGTTTTTTAAGAATTTTGGTGTCGATTATGTCAAGGCAGTTGCCTGCCAGCTGAGCCTCCGCCTTGTCAGAGCCGGTGAAGCTGGCTGGAGGCACTGCGATGTTTCTTCACTTGCCAGGTGAGCAGTGGCACACCTGTCCCTGTTCCTATAAAGCCTTGTTTGTTGTTTGGTGGAAGGGGCTGGAAGGCAAGTGGCTCTGCGTAGAGAACCTTTTGTCTGCCTCAGCCGTTTTCTTGTTTTAAAGCCAGCCATTGGTAGAAGTCGTCCTTTGTTTTTTCAGCATTGTTTACTTCCCAATATTTATATGGAGTTATCTCTCAGGCCCTATCTTGCAGCCCTGTTTTAAGAACGGATGAGCAAGTTTAGCTCCTTCAGCGTCCTAACTTTGAAATCCGTGAATTCCATGTGTTCTTTTTCTTCTCCAGTGGTTGAGATTAATGCCAAGAAACTTCTCAACTTCTCTAATTGTCTTCCCCATGAGTGATCATTCTTCCAGAGTCATGATTTTATGAAAATGTTCTGTAAAACGCATTGATTTTTATTTCAATTCAACAATGCCCCAGTGTCCTAGTTGATATTAACTTAAATGCGTGGTTGATTTAAAATGCAGGAGGTGCTGGATTTGTTTGATTTGGTTCCCAGACCCTGCTTTTGACCCATTTTTTGTGTAACTGGAGAGAGGCTTTAGGGACTCGCCGATCCATTATGCTGCTGTCTGTCCTCCACGTTTCTGGTGTGTTTTGGTCTGAGGGGATTTACTAGCGACTTAAAGACTTTTCTGGAGTGTGAGTGTGTGTGAGTTGTGTGAGGGCCTGGGGGTATGGAAGGAGATGCAGCCATCTATTTTCTATATAGTTTTCACTGGTAAGTTCAATAACATTTATAACCAGAAGAGTAAAAACCTTTTTTTTTTTTTTCAGGCATCTAGGTCTTTCTTTTGTCAAGAAGGTGCATTTTATGACCGCTTTACCTAAACTTTCTGAGTAAATTAATGGCCAAACCCAGGACTTGGTCCCTAAACTCAAAGACAATGACACAATATGAATTTTGTCTTATTACAATAACTTTTTTATGGAAGCTTCCTCTGACCCCTCCTTCTGGGTTTTGTAGGCTACCATCCCCCTTTTTCAATCCAATAGGGAGCTCATTATTTGGCAATTACCTCTGAAACATTATGGTTCTGGAAGGTGAACCTGGATTTATCCCTACTAATACTATCAGCAGGGACCTTGGGGCCAGCCTGTCTCCCATTATGGTACATTTTTGTCATCTGAGCTAAATTCTTCTAAGATAGCTGGGACCACACAGGGTGATCAGACAGGCAGGCATTTCATGCCCATTCAGTTTTCAGTAGATGCCTGGATACTCTGTTGGCACTTAGGCTAGAGACAACGAGATCCAGAGGTGCCTGTAAGCACTTGGTGACTTTATTTTTAACACTGGACCTGAGACACTGGCTAGTCCATCATGTCTGACTCAGAAGTGCTGGGACGCAATATCTTGTACTGACGTTTAAGGCATCATGCTTATTTGCCCGTATTATTCGATAATGGTGTGTTATCATGAATGCACAAGTGAAGAAATCTTACTGAATGCTATTTCTGAATCAGATAAAGCTGTTTGCTATTTTGAAAATATGTTGGCATGGATATATTTGCCATCTCCCATCTTTAAAGGGGGAAGAAGTGTTCGCATAGAGGAGCTAAGGGACTTGAGCCTTTGCAGTGCTGGTGAGAACTAAATGCGTCACTGGATGTCTTTTGGCCAAGGTTTCATGGTAAATGTGATGGGGGTCATTCTCTGGTTGTCTGAGTTGTATGAAGATTTGAGTAAATCTGAGACGTCTGTTGCCTTTTACAGGCAAAATGGATGGGTTACGGTCATGACTGTACGTCTAGGGGAAGTGATAATGCGAGGAGAAATAAAGTACAATGGTGGCAGGAAGATGGATACCAGCATAGAGAAGGAGCAGGAACCAGCAGTTCTTAAAATGGCTTTTTCCAGGGAATAGCCATAGGCTTGGTGATCCCCACTCAGATGGGTTTCAGACAGGGCAAGAAGAGAAGGTGACAATGTTTAAAAACCTAGGAGTAATGGAAGGAAGAATAATGGACTTACAATGCCAACTCGAGGAAAAGTAAATGGTAAACGGGCTTATAATGGGATGTTGCCTTTGTTTTCTGCTAACGTCTCAGGAAGAGAAAGCAGAGACCAGACGGAGGGGGCCACCCCAGCAGTCTCTTGGGGGTGAAGGAAGCAGCCCCCCAGAGCAACTCAAAGGGCTGTTTAGGGCAAAGTTCAGTGAGCAATTCAGAGCTGGGTTCAGAAAGCGCTGACTGCTGGTGGGAAGCAGGGTCGTGTTGTGGCAGACTTGGTTATAATCCTGGGGCTGACAGTCAAGCAACATTCTTTGGCAGTGACTGAGGTGCCAGCGGTGATGTCAGGCTTGGGATGGGAACAACCGCAGGCTTGTTTTGGAAGGAGGCACTTGAAGGAAAAAGTGAGAACGACTTCTTAATAGATATGGAAATGTCATTAAATAAGTGGAAGTTCCAGACTTTTCTCCCGCAGACGCAGTAGGCACTGGTTTCCAGGACACAGTCATTTTCGACGTAGCTTCCTCCCTCTCCAGCCACAGTGCTCTTTTGTTTTGTTTTGTTTTGTTTTGTTTTGTTTTACTTTCATTCTCTCTGCTGTGGGTTCCTCTGTTCTAGGATTCCCACCAGTTGCCTTCTCGTCTGGGTTTGGCTCCTGTTCACTTTCAGACGATACCCCAATCTCCTTGCCACCCTCGAATGGTCAGCTTGACCCAGTCCTGTATAAGTCGTAGACATTCTATAATAACATAGAAGAAACTCTTTGAAAATATAAATATGAAATTAACAGAATATTTTTATTGTCTACCCAAAATTAACTGGGCAAAGGATACTTATTTCATCTTCACTCTACGATTCTCCCTAATTCCAGTTTCTTCATCACAGTGGATTGCGCTATCTGAGATGTCAAGTCACAGGCTGTAGAGCCATTTCTGACTCATTCTTTGTTTTAGGGGATTGTCTGTAAACCCAGCTCCTTCACCCCAGTGTCTGGTGGGGTAACACAGAACACTGGAATCAGAGGGCAGAGTTCAAATTCTTCTTGGTTCCTTACCAGCCTTGTGATGTTGGGCAAGTTTTTTTCTCTCCCACCATGTCTCTTTTTTTTGTCTTTTCTGAAATGAAGATAGTAACAGGACCTATTTCATAGGGGTGTTGTAAAGATTTCAGAGGCAGACAATAGCTGGTTCCTAATAAGTATCCAATATGTGTCAGCTGTTGTTATAAATATTAGATTCACAGAAGCTCACTAGGACTAACTTTTGGTAGTGTAGAAAGCGTCATGAGCTGAACACTGAGACAGACCTGGGTTTGAACGCTGACTTTTGCACTGAACTGAGTGACCATGCACACTGACTTGCCCTTTCTGATTTTCAGTTGTACGCATCTGCAAAATGGGCTCACAATACTGGCCCACAGCACAGTTGGGGATTTTAAAGCTGATGGTGTATATGAAACTTGTAGCAGTGTCTAGCTTGGGGTTGTTTTTCCAGAAATAGTATCTACCACTATCATTGTTGTTAGTTGTGTCCTGTACACAAACATAGGCTTGGGATCACCCTTGGGTAAGAAACGTTAATTAAGATTCAAGGGCCAACATTTCCTGCCCCCAAATTATCCTTGCTTTGAGTTTTTACTCATTCACACTGTTGGCTCTAACTTCTTATCCTTTCTTGACTTCAGCCTAGTGTCTCCTCTGACTTTTTAAATCTATCTTTCCAGGCTTATCTGCTCACATGAATATTTGGACTTTTTCTTGTGGTCCTGCCAATCAATCCTTGATCTGAACAGTGTTTCATCTACCTGGGTTCAATTCCTGACTGTAACACTTACCTTAAAGCACATGACTTAACTTTTCTGAGCCTCAACCATCTTTCAAATGATCTCATTGAATCATTGTGGGACTTGAAAAAAAACAAAAAAACTAATTGTATCCACCAGTCAGATAGTTCTCTGTCTTAAATCAGTTTCCTGGGAAACAGACTCTGAGGTAGAGATTTACATGCAAAGTATTTTGGGGGACAGTGGTCTCTGGAACTTTTGTAGGGAGTGAGGGCAGCAGGATTGGGCACAGGAGATGTTGAACTGCAATGCGATTGCAGCTGAAGCCTCAACCAAACCCAGGGGAGACTGGAGTCAGGTTGACCCTTTAGAACTATCGCAGGGGAGCCCAACCTTTGTTACTGCATCAACCAGTCATTAGTCGCTGCAGGGGGAGCTACTGGGGTATCAACAGGAGGTGATGTAGCCTTGAGTGTGTAGCGCCCTTTGACCAAGGGCAACTGCTGGAGCTGGATGTAGCTATGAGCTGCTGGTAGGCAGCACATCTGACATCTGAAGAATTGAGTGTCTCAGTCTCAAAGAGGAGTCAGGCGCACCCCGCAATATCCACTATCTGCTCAGTAATTTGGAATTGCCTCTGCTCCATTCTTTGGCATCCATTTCCTTTTTTTCTACTAGAGCTAGGTTTCCCTCTGATTAGCAATTCCTTTTTCCTTTCGAGTCCCCCAATTCCTATGTTGCTCCTTTTGAGATGATGTCTAAGAACATTCTATAGGTTATCATTGATCATTTTTCAACTTGTTTTTGTATGTGTGGGGAGCAGGTCAGTTTAACCAGTTATTAATCTCTGATTGTGCAATGAATAAAGACTTAAAGTAGAGGTGGTATCTTTCCATGTTAAACTTAAGGGCCACTTGTAATCCTTTATCAGTATTGAGCCTACTCAGAGTGCTGTGATGCAAAGAATTGTACGGCTATGCTTAGCCTGAAAGAATGCTGTGATAAGTTAGTGATGCCTGCCCTGGGAGTGAGCTGAGAGATTGGGGGTACTCATGCTCCATTTCTGCCATCCCAGGTATAAGCCTTGTCTCCCCTTTTAATGTTGGATGTCAAAATGCTTTCCACTTTCCTTCGCCTTCCTGGGTGAATTTCTGTACCAACACTTACATTTAATTAGCCCCTTTAAGTGTAATTAAACCATATGCCTAGAATTGTTTCTCAGGTCACCTTAATCACTTCATCAACAACCTCATCTCCAGGAAACCTTCCATTAAATAATTAAAAGAGTTTGTTAGAAGAGTTGGGTTACATTCACGAACACCTGTTTATTTGCCTTCCCATTAAATCTAGACTCACCTTTTGTGACTGTATTACATTAATGCTCATTTGTTTGTTTTATGGATTTGTTTAGTGTATCCCCTAAGAAACACTCTTTCTCTGCCATCCTTGGCTATCTTAGATTGTGTAAGCTCCCAGAAGGCAAATACCATGTCGTTTAAAATTGCATTGTACAGTGCTATGCACAAGTGAGCAATTAATTCTCAAAACACTGACAGTGGGAGAAGACACAAAGGCACTGATGATATCTTAAATGATTTAAGTGATGTCTTTAATGTTTTGGTTATCCCCAATTTTTTTTTCTAATAAAAACTGTCAGAAAAAAAATGAGAAAATGTTCAAAGTATATTGAGTTTCTCTGAACTAAATCAGTGGTTAAATTAAAATTATTATTAAAAAATCAGTCTTAGGTGTTTCTGTCTCTATCCATGAAGTGTTATTGTTGGACGCTTCTGCCAGTCTCTTTAAATTGTTCTCATGAAGTGAACAGGCTAAAGAAATAACAGTTGTGGCAGTGGGGAAAGTGAAGGACCCATACTTGATGTGGGTCAGGGGTTGGCCAGCTTTTTCTGTAAAGGGGCCAGATGGTAAAAGTATTTTCACCATTATGGGCCATATGGTCTCTGTCACAAGTACTCAACTCTGTTATTGTAGCAAGGAAGCAGCCATAGAGATACATAAACAAATAATCATGCTAGTGTTCTAATAAAACTTTATTTACAAACAGGAGTGGTCCAGATTTGGCCTGTGGGCTATGGTTTGCTAACACCTGATCCAGGTGATAAGACTGAATTCCACTGTCTGCTCATAAACCAATTAAGAACTACATTACTAAATTGGACCAATGATAAGAGTGACATTTCAAAGTCAAGAATGTGAAAACAATTGTAATGACTTACACTCATATCTTTTGTTTTCTAGTTTGGTTACACCTGGGCATGGTGCACAGTGATACTCAGTGAAGGGTGGGTTCCACAGGGGCAATTCCTAATTCCAAGTGTCCTAGGCACTTCTATTTTTAAGATGCTGGCCACCAAGTTATTGGTCTCAGTGCGGACTCTTTACTTACTGATTCCCTGAGTTGGAGAATCCACTGGATCTCTCTGTGACTAATCTTGTGTTTCTTTCCTGTATGAACTAGATTGTGGTATCTTCTCTACTGACCTAACAGGGTTGTTTTGATGGCCAGTGGCCAATCGAAATACTTAATAGAAACATACACATTCCTATTAAAAATTAAGGAATATTAAATGTGCTTGGCCTTCCTCTGTATCTCAAACTGATCTTGATACTAGGTGGATTCCCCTCCCCCACCCCACCCAGGCAGATCTGTGTGTGTGCTTTTGAAATCCAAATACTATTGGATAATTGAATGATACTTAAGCTTTGCTTCACATTCAACTTACCTGCAATACTTAAAACAAACAAACAAACCAACAAACAAAAAAACTTAATATCTTGATAACGTACCAGATTAACTGAATCTGAATCTCTAGTGGTGGTGTTGTTGGAGAGTGGGCCCTTCTTGGTGGAAAGTCCAGGTTGAACGAGATGCCGGAGT